TATTTTCAAAAAACTCTTGTGCATGTGTACAAGGAAGCATATGCAAAAACATTTACAGCCATGCTGTTTGTAATAGCAAAAGATCGAACACTAAATAGCCATTAACAGTGTGTCCATAAAACCCACAGCATTCATGTCGAAGTCGAAATCTGGGCACCAGGTGTGCACAATGGTATCAAAGTGTCACTGCTCCCAGGCCCTCAGAGTGGCCAGAGTTAGGGAATATAGGAGTCTGTGTCTGTACACACACACAACTCTCTCACACACACACACACACACACGCATACACACCAGTGCCAGGACCTGGACTGGGGACAGGTTGATGTGGCTGCTGGGACAGACAAGCAGGTCAGGAAAGCATTCCAGATGATGAGTACAGAAAAGATCCACACCCAGGGGTTCAAGGGGGCCAATGGAGGCATCCAGGGCATCACTGGTGGTCAGGGAAGGCTTCCTGGAGGAAGGGCTGAGCCATGAAGAATCACAGGAAGCAGCTGGGTGTGTGTGGAGGGTGCCAGACCCCCGAGGACCCCCAAACTGGGCTCAGGACTTAGAGTCAAGATCTGTCTGATGGGGGAGAAGGCAGGGAAGGAAGTTTCTCATCTGTGCAGGAGGCATGGTAAGGACATGGGTCCAATGCCCACCGAACATTTGTTCAGCAAGTGCTAGCTAGGTTAGTACCATGCTATGCCTGCATCAGCTCATAGACTTGTCCCTTACACTCTGGTTGGGGGTGTGCTATTATTGGCCCCCTGAAAGGTCAGCCCACAGGCTCAGAGGTCTTCAGCCTTGGGGTGAGGTCACACCACTGGTGAGAGCTGGTCCTGATGGTACCCAAGCAAAGGGACTGCCGGGTGCCAAGCTTGAGACCCTGGTGGGGCAGGAGCGGGGTTCTGCATGTCCCAACACAAGTTGTTAGTCCCCTCTCTCCATTAGACTGTTTTTCTTTAAGGAGACACACTTAAAGGAAAAACAACTGCCTTTTATGTATAATATATATATACATGCCTTTACTACCATTCTGAATGGAACCCGTTTCCAATAACTATACCGAGGAGGCAACAGCAATGAAATAACACCAGTTCTTGCGGGAGTCTTGCCTGAAGTCTGCGCTTTTGGTTAGATAAGGTTAGCTCGTCTCTAACAACTCCCAGTGAGGAGGCCCTAACGTGACTTCAAAAGGGAACGACTCAGGGCCAACTTACCCCACGCGAAGGCCTCACCTACACTTTGCCCGGCGGCCGGCCCTTTGGGAACCCGGGCCCCCTCCGCTGGAGACGCCGACCCGGGCAGATGGCTAAACTTGCCGGTCGGTTTCTCAGCGGTCAGCTGGGAGGATCGCCGCCTCGGCGGGCAGAGATGTGGGGTCCGGGGCCCTGGAGGTGCTTGGTCTCGGGCAACTTCGCGGGCAAAGCTCTCCTCTGGCGGAAGTGGACCCGGGATCAGGGCGCCAGAGTCGGGGTGTGTGGAGAGGCTTACCTGGTGGCCGCCGCA